TAAACAAAGCATTCACTAAAAATATTGTTCATATCTGTCTGATTTTTTAAGATTTTAATTAATAAAGAAATAATGATCTGCGGACTTTCGTAAAAATATATTTTAGAAATTTCTCAGGGACACAATAGCATCAGTCATTAGGCGGTTGTTAGTGTCTTTTGACATTGTTAGAAAACGAGATTTAATTTACTGCATCAGAATCCGAATCTTGAATCCGAAAAACAAATCCTCAAACTCAATGCAATGTCTATAAGATTACTGGACAAACAAATTTAATTATAATTTCACACATTATGTATATTTAAGGCAGCTTCAATGTTTTGTCGTGCGATTTGCCGCTATGGTTGCATCCGACATTTTCTTAAATTAGAAACAAAAGGCTAAAATTGTGGACGATATAATGTGAGATATTCATGTACAAATGTAGACAATTAGTATGATGTTACGAGAAGTATCGACTAATAACAAATAAACCAGTAATAATTCGCAGATATGTGAAACTACCAATTTCTTAACAGGGGCGGAGCGTGATCGATAATTGACTGGTTACGCGCATAGCAGATAAATCTTGTACTAAATAATTTCTGTACTTAATTTCCAAAATTAAATCCCGAAAGTGTTCAGAAAAGGTTGATATAGCTACTAAGCAAAAAATCTCCCTTTATATATTTTTTGGTGAAAATTGACTACGTTGTCACCTTAAAATTAACCCTACATATATTTTTCAAAATGTCGGGGCAGATGTTTCCTTGTTGGCTAACAAAACAAAGTTCCAGAAGTTCACATAAGTCTTTCAACTTAATTCAATTTTCCTGAAAATTTCAAGCTCAAAGAAGAAAGTGAATATTGTATACATATTCGAATGACCGGCTCTTAGGATGCATAGTACATGTAGATGCAGTCGTTTTAGAAAATCATTATTATTCCCCTACCGGTTTACCGGAGGGGACTTTAGGTTAACCCTCCGTCCGTCTGTCCGTCTGTCTGTCTGTCCGTCCGTCAGTCCGTCCGTCTGTCCGTCCGTCAGTCCGTCCGTCCACAAAACTGGATCCCACGATAACGCAAAAAGTACTGAAAATATTTTAATGAAACTTGATATATGGATAGATGGCAGTATGGAGATTATGCAAGTCTTTTTCTTTTCTTCCTATGTTAAAAATTCTGGTTGCTATGGCAACAAATAGACTGAAAATATGGCAAATTTTACACATAACCTGGATCCCCCGATAACGCAAAAAGTACTGAAAATATTTTTATGAAACTTGATATATGGATAGATGGCAGTATGGAGATTATGCAAGTCTTTTTCTTTCCTTCCTATGTTGAAAATTCTGGTTGCTATGGCAACAAATAGACTGAAAATATGGCAAATTTTACACATAACCTGGATCCAGTGATAACACAAAAAGTACTGAAAATATGTTTATGAAACTTGACATATGGGTAGATGGCAGTATAGAAATTATGCACATTCTTTTCTTATCTTCCTATGTTGAAAATTCTGGTTGCTATGGCAACAAATAGACTGAATTTCAAGATTTCTGATTCTAATTTTTAAGTTTTTTCACTATAAGTTCTTTATTTCTTTAGGTATTTTCTTCAAACTTTAAATATAAATTGCTTGTCATCAACCACATCATATGTGACAAGGTTTACAACTCTAGCACAAAATTTATCAGAATTACCTCCCTTGAACTTAAAATTTTCATGAAAAAAAACATTGTTTTTTTAATAACTTCTTTTTCTGAATGTATCTACTTCAAACTTCATATAAATGTTTCTTACTATCACTCAACTCAACATTTGTGAGTGTTCAATACTCTAGCAAGACTATTTCCAGAATTATGCCCCTTTTGAACTTAGACTTTTTTTGAGAAATTGGTAATTTTTACTCCAACTTCTTCAATCATGATAGGATTTTAAAAATGTTATATTTTGATAACAGGGATGTTTAAAAAATAACTTTAGAGTGTCCTTCAGTCCGTCTGTCTGTACATAAAAACTGTTTCCTGTGATCACTTTTAAAGAACTTTTTCAACAAATTTACTTAAAATAGGAACCTAAGTGAATGGCCAATGGCCCTTCATAATGTTGCTTGTTTAAATTAAATCTATGATAAGACTTCCTGATAATGCTGAAGCAGAATTTCACAGCGTAATAAATTCGGTTTTTTTTTTTTTTTTTTTTTTCGTTATATTTTTGCAAATGCACTCGTGATATAACCATTTAAAACTCGTATTTTGATAGGTTTGTTGTTACAAAACATTGCATAGGTGGACATCAATGGAAATCAAATTGGGACAATGCCATACTTCATGGTATCAATCCCTGTCTTGGCATGTGACCACCTCTGTCCCTTCTTAACCGTCATTACCAATGATTACTTCTTTACTGACTTCTTGAATGCAACGGTTTTGCAATGATCTCGCAGAGGTTCATGACAGATTATATCGAGTTAATTCACTTTTAGACATTTTTCACAAAGTTCCATCAAAAAATTCGACCGATTACTTAAAAAATATAGCATTTTAGGATTCAACTTACTCTTTTTATAAGCCTAAATACTATCTAAATGTATGTGTAGTAATCGTATTTAGATAATTACAGCGTCTGACGTGATTTGACCATTATGTGTCAGTGTGCAATTAAACAACCCAAATAAAACAAAAGTAGCACATTTATATTTAATTATATTAGTTTGCATTATACAATGGGAAGGCTTTCATTAGAAAAGGACACAAACTTTATATTGATAAAATATGTTAAAGTATTTGTTTAGATAAATTATAAGCAATGTAATGAGAAAATAATTTATATATTAACTTATTGTTAAGTTTATAACCTTTCATTTTAAAATCAGATAAAAGGAATGTACAAGTTAAATATAGTTGTATGGAGGTTAAACGGATAAAGAAGCCATACGAGCTTTTCTATATGTTTATCCTTTGAAGGCTATATTCCCCCTTATATTTCGTTAATAATTTGTTATAACAAATAATGAAAATATGATGGTGATAACAATAATAGTATTTGAGTAAATGTATCCTTGTATGAAAAGTTCAAACTTGAAAGTGTTGTTTAACTTTATTTATTATTATTCATTAATTATTATATTATTATTTTTGTATTTACATATACATCGACTCCAGTCACCATTTACTTTGCACTCGCGTTCAAGAGTGCACACATTTATTGTCCCGCGAGGAAGATAATTTTGTGTCATTTTGAAATTTAAACCCTTTAAGGGAAAACATCAGAGTGCGAAAGCTAGCTTTTAAGAAACAAAAAACCTCAAACCTTTCCTTTGGGAATTTAATTTTAAATACACCCTTTGTTCCATCGGGGAAACGAAACCAAAAACAAGAAAAGACAGTTTTGAAAAAAAGTTACCGCCAAAATTTCTAAATTTGATAAATTTTTAAAACATATATTTTCTTTTCTTTTGTACAATGTACTAAAAAATTTAACGATAAATCCCCTTTTTAAAAAACATTACGTTTAAAACAATAAACTTTTAAAGGGCTCTCGAAAGTTTCCCCACAAGCCCGTAAATAAACTTTTTTTTTTTGGTAGAAAGTTATTTTGGGCGACTCTTTGCAATGCCCGGCCCGTTTAAAAGGGCAAGGAGGGATTTTTGGGGGACCCCGATTAAAATAGTTCTCGTCTGATGTTAAAAGCACAACTAGTAAATTGAATTAATAAAACTGGGGAAAAAATTTCTTTAAAAAGGCAAAGTAGACGATTTTTAAATGTTTTTCCAAAAAATAAAAACCCCCCTCAAAGTTGGGGGTGCTTATAGAAATTTTAGAAGTTGAAAAGATTTAAAAAGATGGTTTAAAAGAAAAGAAAAAAGTTTTTCAAACAAAGAGAAATCAACTTTCGCCCCTTCCATACATGCAAAAAAATTAAACCAATTTGGGCAATATACATCATAAACATATACTTTATAGTATACTATTACAAAATTTAACCCAATTTTTCAAAGTTTTTGTAAAGTAAAAAACCCAAATTAAAAGACATAAACAAAACTATTTTGTAAACTAGAGGATCCCATAAATCGTATACGTTAGTATAGTTTTGCAATTTGATGCATGAAATAAATGGGAGGTCAAAATTTAAAAAAGATTTTTTCGTTACTTAACAGTTCGAAAAATTTCCCACAAGGGGTTTTTTTCCAAATACTATTTTGGGAAAATTAACTGTTTTTTTAAAGTCACATATTAAAATACGAACATTTTACTAAAAAATCTACAAATTTATTTTTTTAAACAGCTGATAAAAAAAAAATCAAAAAAAACAATTTTTATGGTTATTATTAATTTTATATGTGCAAATTATAAAACATAAACAAATAAAAAAGACTTATTAGGTCTGAACAAAACATATTACAAATTTTTAATCAATATTACAAAATGTTTCATCCATTTTTTTCCCCCTAAAAAAAAAGAAAACAGGTGCCATAAAGCCTTTTGATCCATAATTTCGCTTGCTTTTTTTAATTTTTACAAATACAAAAATGACACAAAAGAAAAAAACAATTTCGCAACTAAATTTCAGAAGCGTCCTGTATCAAACCAAAAGAGGAAAGTAAAAGTCATAAAATCAACTTCAAAGACAAAAACAAAATGAAATAAATAAATGATACAAACAGGTATGATTACAAATGAGATTACATGAACATGAATATTTATATCATATAAACAGAATTATTACTGCGTTATATCTTTGCATCTCCTGGCCATTTTCCATTGAATTTGTTTAAAATTGCTTATTATAATATTATGATAAGATACCAAAGTAAGTCTTAATTTGTATTATATGAATAAACATACATGTACTGATTGTACTTAATATACTACATGATTGTCAATCGGTATTAAATAGAAATTACAAATAACAAAAACAAAATTCTTGACAGAAATGTCCAAATGTATTTTCAAATTGACTTTAAAATAACATAAGTTACAAGGAAAATATACAAGAGTCACCCAATTTATCTTTTAAATATTTGTATTTATGTACTCAGATGTTTGATTCTGTTGACATGGTTGATGTGTTCTGCTACCTGTTTCTTTGAATGAACTAAGTTCTTGTAATGCAGAGTCAAGTGACTCATATGTAGGAGTTGTGTGTACTCGATTATTCTCATTCTCTTTACTTTCGGTCGAATCCAAATTCTCATACGTAAATGCATTCTGGCTGTCCTTCATGTTTCCTTCAGAAATAAATGAATCAAATTGATTTATACATGCTACGTGTTGCAAACGAAAACAACAAATATCAGATACTTTTTTACGCAAAACACTCACTATGACACACAGGAGGCAATCTATGCATTCATGAACATTTCTATCAAATATATTTGAAAATATTCCAAAGCTCTTGAAAGATTATCTTAACTGATTTGTGTAATGATATTCTATTACTAGTACTACAACTATCGATACTATTTTGTGCCTTTTTATTAGTATTAAGCATGTTAAAAGTATATTGTCAAAAGTCAATCTTATAAAAAAAGAAATTTAAAGCAAAATCCTAAATATTTGAATAATTGACAAACGACTGAGTTTGAAATGAAATACATAAAATTATATAATTAATTAATAAAAAAAAGATATTTAATAATGATATCAGAATATACGAATACGATCTATAACATTTAACAGTCCTTCATTTTTGCATTTGTTTGCTTGTTTGCTTGATGGCATTGTAACATTTTATTTTTGTTGATTTGCTACCTTTTCGCTTTTTGACATTATTTTATTGTCACAGCTGTTCTGCATTGTTACATTTTCGTTACAATGTGTTATTTTCCCTTTTCGGGTTTACTAGCGAACGAGTACATCAGCAGAAAATAACCAAACATACCGTACAGAAGATAAGATTATTACATATAATATCATTCAAACTATTGAAGGTCAGTTTATAATCAACTGACTAATTATATTTGTCAAAATTATATCATTTGCTGTGACGTATGTGTTATATCTGCACATGCTTAAATGTAACGTTAAGCTGCGGAAAAAGCAGCAGTTCAACAAAGAGAATTGAACTAATGCCAAAGTAAGATAGGCATGCTATTGCAACATTGACAAAAATGCAAAATTACAAATATACGACGAATAAGAGGTGAAAACACAACACATGTTTTGCCTTATTTTTGTGTACACTTTGAATTCTCTTCTTGATAATCGAAATTTGTAATATCTTAACGTTTCGCATTTACGTGGTTAAAAATACGTAAATAAGCCACCATAGGGTATGAAAAGAACAGTTCATGGCTTCTTCTGTCTGTCTCGCGCTCATGTCATCATATTATAAAGAGAAAATAATTATCTTAATTGCGCCAATAATAATCATACATGTTATTTATTGCAAAATGTGTCTTAAAAGGAATGTATAACCCATTCTAACCGTATGAAAAAGTGATTTGTTCAGCATTAGATAGTTTAAGTATATTGTAAATACAGTATAGTACAGTACAAAAACTACACCAAAAAGAAACAATTCTTATCTTATTTGACACATTTATAAGCATTTTGTTTGATGGTACAACAATGAAAAACCATTTATGATAAAAAAAAAACCTGAGATAACATCGTAGGCATTTCCGTAGTCAGCAAAAAATGCCAAATGCCACAGCTTACGATTTATAAAAGGCATCTTGCAATCGGTGAATTGAATAACGAAACTGCATTGTGTTCATTTCACATATGTTTGGTATTCAATAACATAATGCAAGCATTCAAAAGGAGACCATTGATATAATCGCCGTGCAAATTGATTTGAAAGTTTATTTATTTAGGATAACTCCCTTATTCTATAGTATTGACAAACACAAAGGCAATGTGTATATAAGAGAAAGTACACTTCCTGTCCGATTATTGAGTTGTATCATTTTCAAACTTATTTAAAAAATGATATTGTTTTTTACATTTTCATGTTTGCTACAATTACATATTTTGGCACAAGATAGGCTTTAAATAGCTCATGTAATATTAACTAAAATTTAAAAACATGGAAAATATAATAATTAAAGCATGGTACCATAAAATATTGATTATTTTGATAAGAAATCTCAAAAAAAGAGAATACCTATCGCTTTTCTGGCAGAATTTTGGTCCTTCCTGTAAAAGAATTAAACTAATATTAGAGTAACTTTTTTTTCAATCGTAGTGCCTTTCTGTTATATACTTGTCATTGGACGATTTTATGCATACATTTTATTATTGTACACAATATATTAAAAGCAGTTTCAATTCATTATCTACGAATATTATGTTACGGAAATAGGAATTACTTAATATACATTTAACTATGAAAACAGAAATGGTTTTTATAACATCGTAAAAATTATCTTGCCAAGCAGTCGGATACATATGTTCTAATTGTTGCAAATTTAAGTATGCTGTAATTAAAAAAAAAACTAAAAAAACATAACATGTTTATTTTTTCTTTTGTAATTCTGTGATGACTTTTATGATAATTTATAACGTGAGCACACCTGAAGCACTTGTAACAAATTAGAGTAACGACAACTATCAAAATAGTTCCTGCAAATGTACCAACGCCAACTCCAACAACAATACCTAAGTTTTTCACATCAGTACCTGACTTTTGCTGTGAAACGCCCGCTACTTAAAAAAAAACACAAAATAAAATGTAGTTAGTGCATCTACAAACAGGTAAATTCAAACACATAAATGGTAAAAAAGTACTTTATGTCTATTTCAACGAATTTAGGAATAATGTGTAATTGTCTTAAAAATAAGGGTATATCCAGTGTTAAAGCTATCATAGATACTGAATAAAGTTATGTGAACATACTTAAATGTTAGACATTTGTTGACGCTACAAATAATTATATACGTATTATTGGTATGTTTCACGAATTGTGTGGAGGAAAGTACGATTTCATCTAGAAGTGAACCACCATGACAGAGTTATGCACGTGTAATCACTTTCTATCTTTGGATGTTACCAAAGTGGCGATACCACGCCACCTTTAGAATGCGGAACATGCGCGACCCCTTGTGCTGTTACCAAACCGATTTTGACAAGATAATACATTGAGTAGTCTACATTGTAAAAACGTTCCATGGAATATAAACATTTAGAATACCAAAAAAATAGTTTCGGATGATATCCATATCTACTCCAGGCGAACACTGTACACACTCAAAAAAGAAAATAAATAATACTAATGTTTTCTAGTAAATCCGCAGTTTTTCCTCACTTTTGATAGAAATAAGAATAATATTATAGTTTTGTTAACATCATTCCTCTTATTATATGATTAACATATACCCTACAATATACATGTTATAGTAGATTCTTGTATTAAATTCATTAGAGTTTTACAGATAATTATACATTTTACAGAAGAAATTTAGTATTCATGTATAACTTTCAAATATATATCATTTTTGGAGTATTTTCCAGTTTTTATCGAAATTGCTTAAAATGACATGATACATAACGAATGTTTAAACTTAATTTCAGAAACAATAACGATAAAAGGTTTTGTTTATGACAGGTTACATTGTTTATCCGAAATTGTCCAAACTATTAAAGGGTCAAACTAGTTTTTCGAGGCTTTTGAACAGTTATTTTGATATAAAACAAAAACACAATTTTAGTCTCAAATTGTCAATTATCCGTTTCACGTATGGAAGTTTAATCCTCATATGATATACCAGAAACCTACACATTGTTTGAAGTGGCGCATGTCGGTGATCAATATTAGGTTCGCCCATTCCCATGTGTACAGTTTGTACAATAATCTTCATACACAATGTTAAGCCACTTTCGTTATATCAAACCGAAAAACATTGTGCTGGATTACACGTTACTGCCCGACTGATCTTTTTTTATTTGTTTTTCTGTTTTATTTTTTTTTTCAAAACTGAGCCAAAATAGAGTGTAACTGTTCTTTTGTCGTGCATTTACATAGTTAAAATGCACGTGTACACATTTCGATTACAAAACCGCAAGGCTAAGGATTTAATAAGTGTAAGGGTTTCTGAGATGTAATGGCACGAAATTGTAGTGCTAAATCTTTTAGCATCTATATCTACACGAACACAAAAATAATCTTCACAGTATCTAGAGGAAGAAATTTGTAAGCAATGTAAATATTTTCCAATCTGGCAATGACAAAGAAAATAAATTTAATGAATCTTTTATCAGACTTTTGAGGACGTTTCCCAAAGTGTAAATAAAGTTTTATTTCTCGAAGGAGTTAAACGTCAAATCTTTTACTTTTTATAAAATTATCTTATTGAAAACTTATTTGAATGTAATATTTACAGACAAGCTTATAATAATCAGCTCCGAAATAAAGCTACATATTTCATGTAAGATATATTAAGTAGATGTGAACTTAAGATTGTTTTACAGGTAAATTTTGATAAACATGTGATAGATCATTAAAATTAAATAATGCGCAAAGTAACCTAATAGTGTTTTCTTTTGTCTTCATAGATTTTAACTTCTACAAGCTATTAGTAAAAGCCTCAACAGACGGTAGGATTTAGTCGTAGAGGACTAATTAGAGATAAGATGTACAATTTTCAAAGCTATACAACACTTGCATTCAGACGGCAATTCTACACTGTGAGAATCATCTGAGGTTTCCCCTAAAGGGATCCCTTTACATTGATCCTTTACATACTTTTACTCACTAAATACTTTTTTCGCCATGAGTAATGATTGAAACACCTCCATTTAAATATATATATATATATATTTTTTTTTTTGTGAAGCCTGACTAAGACTCAAACCTGGGACCCTCGGAATACCGTACTGTGGCTCTACTTACTAAGCTATCTGGCCGCCTACAAACTACCTCCCCTCCCCTTATTAGAGAACAATTCAATACAGTGACATAATCATTTACGGAATAATTTGGGATTCGAACATAACAAAACTTTGGGTCTCCTGAAGAGTTTTTCAACATCATTTTTACCCCACCTTACTACTATGTTTACCTTTTAGCCCTAATTGTTCTGGAATTTCACTCATTACACCCATTATCAGGAGATAATTTGGTAATCTGTTACTTGTCATGGTGGGAGGTCTGTAAAATCTGTACGACAAGATTTTCAAAATAGAACATGTCCTATCCCTTACATCTGGTTTTAATAGGTGTTGTACTTCAAAATTTCAAGTGTGTACCGTTTCCTCCGGCCGTAGCCATGAAAAACATAAGTATACTGGTTTTCATAATTTTGAAGTATTTGAGAAGCTTTTATAATTACGGGTAATTAACTTGTCAAATTCGGTAGGCTAACATGAAAGATTTGGAGTAAAACCATACCTGAATCGGGCAAAAAATGGACATAAATAGATAACTAAAGGTCACGTGGTATCGTCACATTGAAGTTACATGTCAAGTGAAAAAAACCGGCGTGTTCCGTTTATTATTATTATTATTATTATTTTATTATTTTCAAGTGTGTACCGTTTCCTCCGGCCGTAGCCATGAAAAACATAATTATACTGGTTTTCATAATTTTGAAGTATTTGAGAAGCTTTTATAATTACGGGTAATTAACTTGTCAAATTCGGTAGGCTAACATGAAAGATATGGAATAAAACCATACCTGAATCGGGCAAAAAGTGCACATAAATAGATAACTAAAGGTCACGTGGTATCGTCACATTGAAGTTACATGTCAAGTGACTTTTATCACTCAGGTCTTAAACTTCTTTTTTATTTCATGAAAACATTTTGCCTTACTGAACACTTTGGACAGACAAGGCGCCCATTTATGATATTAATAACCCAACAAATGATGTTAGAGTTTTTCGGCCGATCTATCTGTCATAATGTCAATCGGTCGGATGGTACTCCGAGAACAAGGAAATGGATTTTACAAAATGCCAAAGAAAAGGAAACAGATCTATTTCAAATATACTTTTATGCCAATAAATTCCCTAAAATTATAACCTCTTTTATCTCTATTTGTATTGAATTGTGCTAGTTTTAGCACACAAAAAGATCAAATGTTACTTTATTAATATTAAAGAGGTCGAGTTCAAACACAGCATAAGAATATTTATTGTTACGGTCCCTTTCATCTTCCTGTCAACTTTGCAAAATAAGACTTTCAATAAGCTTAAAACAGTTTCCAGATGATAACTCCTTTAAGAGACAGTTTTGGTATACACACATTTTTAAATAAAGGTACAGTTAGAAATTTTAAATTTGTAAATGTTAATGTAACTTTGTGTCATTTCGATAATGTTGGTACATGTTTTATGTGTATTTACTGTTATTTTTGTTGCCATATGTACATGTATGCTAGAAGGACACACGTTTTTGTTAATTGAATCAACAATAAAATAACGAAAGTGCAAAGCAAACAAATTCGTATAACGCTACGATTTTTAAAATGACTACAATAATAATTCTATAAAATCAAACCAAATAAAAAAAATGCAAAACCATTAGCATTTGTAAATTCATCTGATTTTGTATACAGAAGTGAGTAAAAAAACATTAGAATTATATACCTTTTGTTTTAAAATGAAGACTTGGAGTGAGGTTGGAGTCACCGATTTCATTCCTCGAGAACATTTTAGCGTCGTACTCCGTCATTCTTGATAAACCTCTGAGGGTAAAATTCCTCTGTTTGAAACCATTATCCTGTATCGTTGTGCTCTTCCAGTTGTCCCCGGAAGACATTTTATAAATCAGAATGAACACTTGCGATTCACCGCCGTTGAAACCGGCAGTCCATGTCAGAGTGACCGATGAGTCAGTAATGGAGTTTTCAATTTCATTGAAGTAAAGCGGTTGGTCTGGTTTATCTAAAACGAATTTAAAGCTTTCTTAACAATAAACATTCTGTACATTCCATTTTGTCGAAGTATTTTGCATTTAGTCACAGTGTTTTGTTGGGGTTTTTTGTAGTTTCATTTGTAAAAGAAATACACAAACTCACCTGACTTACCTTTTAACAAAATTTCATAGAAATGAATGTATTTGCCAACGGAATTCGATACATGCACTGCAATTTGCCCAATATCTTCACGTGTTATATTTTTGATAGTAAGGTTTGACTGCATTCCATCTGAAGATATTGTGATTTTACCACCATCGTTTTGTACAGACTGGTGATGTTGAAACCATGTAAAAACTGTGTTGTTTGGTTCATCAAGATAATCATGAGCAGTGAATTGCAAAAGCACGTCCTCATTTAGAATTGCAATGATCTTCACTATGCTGTAATCGACAGAAGATGGTCTTGGTGGACCTAAAATGCAAGGTTAATATCATAATTTGAAAATGCTATCGAAATTAAAATGTTAAACGCAGTAAAACTGTATTATCTATAAAAAAGTAATAAATTTAAACACTGATATGGATAATACGGTATATTATGTTGTAATATCTTTTTGAGGCTTTGTATTTTGCTACGAACAGCGGTGCAATTTTCCAACGTTGCGAGTAGAAAAACACATAGCCTCAGAAAGCTACTACAACATAATTTTCCTTTTATAATGTACCTTTTCGTTTTATTTAGAAAATGAAATGTAATTGTCCAGAAATAAATTCATGACTGACGGATGAATATGTAATTGCAAAACCGGCCACGCCTTTAATAATTTTGGTTCCTGTTTTCAAATGCAACGTTATACAATGCTAAGATCGGAATCAACGTCAAAAATAGTCCGGCACTTCCATATATGGTATATTGTTTGTCACTTACATAATACGGAACTTTCTATCCGTTGAAGCGTATTTGCTCTTCAAGATATGCGTGTATGTGTATTTTAGGGAGAAAATTTATAGGTATTTAATAATAAATGTATTTATTTATAAAATATAAATTAATAATTAATGATTTTTTTGTTACTAAAAGGTTACAATATCTAAAATAAAATCATGAATATTATATCACAATGACATTTAATCGTTTATTTTTTTATTTTATTTTCTTTGTTCGCGCTGTCATCATTTCTGAAATTTTTCCTCCATGTATAACAAAAATGGCATTCACAATCGTAAATGGAAGTTTACTAATTGTTAAACTTGAAGCTGAGTAGTCGTTTAAATCGCTTGTGTGTGTGTGTGTGTGTGTGTGTTTTTTTTGTGTTTTTTGCTGTATTTTCATTTCAAAAATCTCGAATGAAAACGACTTTCGGGTCTTGTCGTTATGTTAATCAAGAGCTATTACATATGAAAAGAAACGTTTAAACGTTTTTATTTAAAATTTGCCAAACGTCATGATTATTTTTCGGCTCTTGTTTATCGAGTCAAACTATCGTTTAGAATTATAATCGTTATTTATGTCTTACTTTATTGCTTAGTTCCTAAGTTTTAATTAAATGTGCTTCTGGCAAACATAAAATATCTTACATCGAACAATAAGGATAAGTTTTGACTTGGAAGACTGATTATCTGTGTTGTATATATTCTGTCCAATGCATGTATATTCTCCAGCATTAACATATGATACATTAATCAGTACGAGATCTATGCTGTTTGAATTTGTTATATTTAAAATAGCTTTTTCTTCAGGACTGATAACAATAATATCTGAAGCGGGGTATCCTTCTGCACTGCAAATAAATGATACCGTACTGGTTTCATTTACAATAAAGGCACCATTTGATTTCTTCGCATTGACATAAAAACGTTGTATTTTCGACTGAGCTGAAAGTAAAACGGATACACATTTTAAAGAAGATAAAATTGTACAAGTATAAAGCAATATGGTATTGGATAAATATTGCTGCTTTTATCATATTTGTAGCGGGAAAACTATTTTGAATTCATGTGAAGACTTAAGCTGATATTTAAGTTCCTATTTTTTTTTTTGATTGGGTTTTGCGTCACATCGACCAGACCTGGGGATGATTACATTGATCATTAATTGATTTAATTACAATTACTTTCAGATTTTATTGTAATTGATTACAATTGATTACTCAGACTTGCCTCTGTAATCAATTAAATTACAATTACTTTAAGAAAGTAATTGATTGATAATTGATTACATTCCATGTATAACTATAAACAAAAGTTTCTTAATGCTATTTAATATACTAGTATACATTATATACATTATATACACAAAGAATTTCCAGCTCATCAACAGTCATCAATTTAACACACTTTTAGTTACTGTCACATCACTTTATCATATTTTAGCATTGCACTTTAGCATCATAAGTTGATGAAACCGTCTGTCAGTCAGACTGCATCTATCAGGACGGAATAATTTACCGCAACACTAAACAAACGCTCTACAGGGGCCAATGATGCAGGAATGGTCCTCAGTCTTCTTGGTGTAGGTTTCATAATGAACTCTCTGCAACAGAAATTTTGAAAAGTGTCAATTGTACAGTATGCTGTATACAGGTGTTAAAACAGGTGTGAAAACAATAATGTTTTATATGGGAATACAAAGAGACAATAGAATTTACAAAGAAATTATCAATTATTTTACAAACACTTCAATGGTACAACAGTATCCATTATAATATAGACACATTGTCTATCACCTAACAAAATAACTGTTGCATATAATTAAAATATGGTAATATGCATCTGACATAAACTCTAGAATATACAAAGTAAAGAAGTTATCTACATTGTTTGAAACTTTTTAAAACATGGTTTAACCAAAATATGTGAAACAAAATTTAACATACCTTTATGTGGGTAATGAAATTTGAATGTGACTTAATGTTTCCATTTATCTTCTTAGGGCACAATTTGCACTGTGCTGTCACATTTCCAGATGTTTCTTTAGGAAAGTCAAAGACATCATAAATCCAATGATTTGACAATTTGGTAAGAATACAAGCCAAACAATAATGTCTATCTTTCAGTTAGAATTCCAGGTTAACTGTATGGATTAAAACTTATTTCTTCATTGTGAGTGATGTCTTAAAACATCTCAGTTGATATTGTACTACCTTAGTTAAACTGTAACATGTGAAATAAATCATTTGAATTTCAATAGTTTCATGTAAAATCTGAAAGTAATCAACATCAATCAAATTGTAATCATAATTACAGACTGAATTTAAGCTGTAATTGATTAATTACAATTAATGTAATCAGTTTTGGGCAAGGTAATCAATTACATGATGATTACAGTGTAATCATGTAATCAATTAAAAAATCAATGATTACGATTAGTGATTACCCCAGGTCTGACATCGACAAAGTATAGGTCATATCGCGACGTTCCAGCTTTATTTGTGGAGGAAGACCTCAGGTGCCCTTCCGTGTATTATTTCAGGCACGAACGGGCACCTGAGTAGAACCACGGACGTTACATAAGCTAGCTGGATAGCTTCCTCACATGAAAGAATCATAAGTCCCTGTCGGGATTCGAATCCACAGCGGTGAAGGGCAAGTGGTTTGAAGTCAACGACCTTAATTAAATTCCTAATCACCGAATACAGTAATAGAAGTATTTTGTTCAAGAGAACACCTTTATTTGCTTTCTATATTTGAAATGAAAGTCAAATAGTAAGCAGGAAGAGCACATACTTACTGAAAACTTTTATGATTAATGTAGATTTTGAAACACCATCTCTGTTTTCTCCAACGGTTTCTTTCATTTTATTTCTTGCAGTACACGTTTTGTTGATGGCAGATCTTATAGACTGTATATTTATAACACTTTCGTTTGTATAGTTATTATCCCAAAACACAGTGGGAGGAGGATTTCCTATGGCATCACAGTATATAGAAAAGGATTCTCCCTTGAATACTTCGAGCATGTCATGACTGATAAGTTGCCCGTGTATATGTCCATATTTAAAAAAAGGTTTTTCAGGTGGATCTTATAAATCAGTTCATGAAAAGCAATATACTATAATTATTATTAAAACAAATATACCTTATACTGCGTGAAATCCTTCATGCCATTTGATTAAATAACTTCCGAATCAACCAGAAATATAAAATTGTAATTTGAACAACATGTAAAACATATTTGCACATAATGTGCTGTAAAAAAGATAAAACATATATGAATTTTAAACTGTATCTAATATGAAAATTAACAGTACTGTTATGAATAGCGCTTTAACATCTGTATATATTAGGAAAATTAGGCTAAGCAGATATGAATAGAACTTACTTAAAATAACATTATTTATGTAAAGTTTTACTTACACAAAACCTTAACTGTTAAAGCAGTTTCATTTCTTCCATCTGTTTGCATGTTTTCCAAACTTGTAATAACATTTCTAGCTATACATTTGTATGTTCTGTCGTTTTTACTATTGATCGTAACATTAAGTTCTTTACCCATAACATTTCCTATGAGAGGACCAGTCCAAGTGTAGTTCGGGAGTGGGTTACCTTCGCTATCGCATATTACATTCAGATTTTGGTTGATTATTACGTCAATTGTACCAGTCACATATGCTGAGTTCACTTTTAATGTTGGTTTCTGTGGTGGAACTACATTTTAAAGGATAGATCGTGATATATACTTTATCGAGGTTTGTTATCATATATCATATGAACGTGAGCTAGTAATCAAAACAATTATTGACTCGAATACTATATACATGTATGTGTCTGTATCTGTGTGCGCGTGTGTGTTTGAGTATGTATGTGTGGTGCTTATTATCCGTTTAATTAAGTTGATTGATTTTTTTTTTGCCATAATGATCATGTATGTTTATTGCACTTAAACTAGCTATTTACACATATATATATATATAGAGAGAGAGAGTAACTACAGAGAAGAACAACACGTAACTAATGCATAATGTATAATTGGCTTCTTTATTATTTTTGTAAGGAATGTTGTATAATATATTTCGAATAACTTACATAGAATGTGTACTGACACAGTAGTGGATTGCGTAACTCCTGACCATGGATGGTTTGATACACAAGAACAATACGATTGATTACGAAACGCAATCAAAGTCACATTGCTCATAACTATGTTGCCATTTACTGTGCTCAATGCCGGTTTGCTATTATAGCATATCCACGTTAAATTTGGAAGTGGGTTTCCACTAGATATAGAACAGGATAATTCACCAACTTCTGATTCTATAAGTGTATACATTTTGCCGTCCTCGTATCCAAGAATTACTGGTGGACTATCTGGAGGATCTGAATTGTAATAGTTTACGGAGTTAAAGACCTAACTATGGATTTAAAGTCATCCTTTGTTTTAAAGGTAAATTGTTTGAATCTGATCCTATATTTTATGATATCATCTGATGAGACTGTGTTGCTCTTATAGCAAAACAGGTAACGCTTAACAGCCCCTTTCTAAACATAGAAACTAAATACTTCCAAGACAATAACAATGCATGGACACATTTAGATAAGAGAATAAACGGGGCTTTTTATTCTCTACGAATTGTTTATTCATAAATTAGTTACGTACTTCAATAATGGGTATAGGTGTTATACTGAATATACCCAATAACTATATGATGGCTTGCGTTGCACCCGTAAATATTGTAAATGCCCGTAATTTGCCTGAAATATACTGGAGGTGGACATTATTTTCAACAGACTTTTGTAGACTAGAATTGATTGAGGTTGTTTATTATAATGTTAGATTGCACTTTCTCTCATACCTCTTTACCGGATTAAACGGTATTCAGCCTTCATCACTTACGTGTTAGAATCAATGATTCCGAAGGATAAGAACAATAATTTATAACAACACTGAAGTGAAGAACGGGGCAACTCCTTACAGCTACCACACTGCACTAGACACCTCCTGCTTTAAAGTATGAAAATATGGGAAAATGATTATGAAACAATATTTTCATTGTAAATTAAATCTATTCATGGGCGATAATGATAAAATCTAATATCCTCACTCCAACCGGCTTAAGCGGTATTCATTCTTTGAAATTCAGGTGCTAGAATCAATTATTCCAAAGCACCAAAAATATAACAACACTAAACTGAAGTATGGGACAACGCTTTACAGCTGCAACACGGCTCTTGACATCTGTAAAGCATGCACATCTATAGAAAAGGCGATCACTGAAAGATTATTTTAAAACTAGAAATTGCCACAAGTGCAGAATACCCCCGACACGTGCTTGTCGGGAAACATGCTTTTTATAATTTTGCACACAGAGATTGCAGTAGATTATAGATTTTTCTAAAATAATTAGTAATTATTTGTCCTATATCAATAAAATAAATCAAAGTTTGACAATGTTAAAAATGTAAAATGAACAAAGGGCAAAAACTCTAAAATTATGGAAGGGATGGTTACGGTTCTAATGCACTGTACTTCTACTCATTCAGATGTATCTACCAACAATATTTCAAGTTGCTACCCTGTATAGTTCTTATGTTTTGTCCCGGACAAAGCTCAAAGTATAAAAGTAAACATAATGCAAGAAGGGGGCGGGGAGGCTACAGTTCTTCAGTGAGATCTATATACCTACAAAGTTTAAAGTTAAATTTTATACTAGTTCTCAGTTTATGTCCAGGGCAAAGTTCAAGATGTTAAAATTTACAAAAGGCAATAACGCCCACATTAGGGAAGGCATAGTTCCGGCCTTTTACACCGCACTTCTACTTAAGGACATTTAATTACCCTTTAAGTTTCTTGTTAATACCTGTAGTATTTTCAGAATTATAACCCGGACAAAGGTTAAAGTGAACAAAGGGCGACTCCAAAACTTGAAACTATGCACTGCTACTCAATGTGATCTATCTTGTTGAAACCTCTCGTGGTTTTATAGTTATGTCCCGGACTGTCCCGGACATCTTAAGCTCACAATGTAAAATGAACGAAAGGTAATAACTCTGAAATGAGGGTTACGATTTTATGCTCTGTAATTCTACTTAATAAATTATATCTAACTACAATGTTTTACGTTAATACCCTATTAGGTCTCAGAGTTATGTCCCGGACAAGTGTATAAATATACAATGGCCAATGACTTTAAATAAGGCAAGGCAGAGTTACGGATGTTATGCATTGCAAATCTACACAATGAGATATAGATGCCTACAATGTTTCCTGTTGATAACTCTTGTAGCCTTGGACAAAGTTCAAAGTAAAACATAAACAAAGGGCAAAAATAAGGCAAGACAGAGTCTCGGTTCCTTTGCACTGCACTTCTACTAAATAAAATATATGTACCTACAAAGTTTGCAGCTGATATTTCTTGTACATTCTGAGTTATGTCCCGGACAAGAAATCAGCAACGGACAAAGCCAAAGGTTAGAGCGTAAAAATGATCAAAGGGCATTAACTCCAAAAATAAGATAACACATAGTTACGGTTCTTATGCACTGCACTTTTACTCAATGTGATTTATCTACCTAAAAAAATTTCTTGTTGTTACCTCCTGTAGTTTTAGAAATATTTCACGGACAAAGTTCGCAGAGTAAAAATGAACAAAGGGCAAATACTTCCATATTAACAAATGCATAGTTACGGCGTTTATGCACTGCACTTCTATTAAATAAGATGTATCTACCTTCAAAGTTACTTGTTGATATATATCTCTTGTAGTTTCAGAGTTATACCCCAGACAATATTCAAAATATAGAAATGAAACCAAAGGCAATGAATCCAAATTTAAGGCAAGGCCGAGTTATGTTTATAGCACTGTATTTTATATCAATGAGATCTATCTACCTTGAATATTTTAAGTTGATATCTTTTGTGCATTATGTGGTATGTCCCGGACAAGAAATCTGCAACGGACCGACCAACAAACCAACCAACTGACCAAACGACCGACCAACAAACCCCCAGCTGACTCCAGTATGCCCGTTAAAACTTCGATTTTCAGGGATATATCAACAATTGCAAATCCGGTTTGATTGTCTCTGCGGATGTGAAACAATGGTAAAATACAATATCTCTCTTGCCTCCTATCACCGATTTCAGCGGTATTCACGTTTCAATAATTACGTGCAAATATTAATAATCCCGATGGACCAGACAAATATAAAAGCACTGACGTGTTTAAGCTATTTGAATATTTTTCGTAATTACCCAATCAATTTATGATATCCTAATAGGGACGTTATCTACACTACACTTATTTCCGCCCTTAATTTGAAGCCAAAGAATAATTTACTTTTACAAGTACCTAATCAAACTAGGATGAAGAAATAAAATTAAAGCCAAATAATTTCATAAAAAGCATATATTTAAGATATGTTTTTCTAAGACAAAACTTACAAATTGAACTCTTGTATTAAAAAAAACGTTTGTATTACTCTAAAATATGAGAACAAAAATCAGCAAGGGAAGGCTCATTCAATTATTGCAAACCCCAACAAATGCCGAACTGCAACTCATGTATCGTATTATGTTGAATTAAATGTTAGTCAACCGCTATTAAAAGTTTACCTAAACGCTGCATAGATTATTTATTTAACCAAATGTTGTGTGCACATGTACGTTTTTCTTTTTTTCTTTTCTAAACTGTTTTATACGGAAGCGTCCTAGTGCCAATACATAATGCTCTACAAAAATATTAAACCTAATTAAGAGTTTAAAACTCCTACATAGGAGATGCAAGCGTATTTAGGAGATTATAAATCCTTTTAAAGACTTTGAAGTCCTACGTAGGAGATGAAAAAGCATTATTAGGAGTTTTGTTAACGTTTTAATGTTTGCATCTAAATATTTGTAAGTGACAATTTCCCAACTTAAAAAGTGAAACTAATTTATTTTACTTACACATTATATTAAGGGTAAACTGGTTGCTGAAAATTGCACTGGTTTCGTTGTCAATCCAAGCTTCACAATATAGCATCCAATTGGTGAATGTTTTATTAGGATAAAACTGGAGAAGGCTCTTCACAGCTACAAGTCCATCTGTGGTTGAGGAAATGATTTGCGACGAAGAATTTACTGTGATTTCATGTTTCACGCTACCAGTATATTCAAGGATGAACCAGTCAACGTAAGGTTGTGGTCGACCAATTGACGTTTCACATCTAAAAGTTTGTTTGGAATGCTCTTTGAATAAACGAGAACTTGGTCCCGATAACGTTACATTTCTAACAGGAACTATAACATAATCAAAATGAAATTAAAATGCAAGGTTGTTGTTTAATTTAAAGTTAAACAGACAAACTAATTTGTTATATCTCTAATTATAAGATTTTGATTTTTGTCTTATTCATGTACTAAAGTATTTATTTCATACAAAGAGTCAGGTAAAAAGCCTTTCGTTTAATATGCATTAATCGTATTAATGGTACTTTGAATAAAAATGACATTTCTTCTTCTTCATCTTTTTTATCGTTCTTAGTTGTCATTTTTCATGTACGTTAATAAGGTATATTCATATTTTATCCATCAATACACCTTTGTTTTCCTCAACAGATATTTTTGATTAGGTCGTTAAAAAGACATCTTTTTCTTCTTTACATCGACTAGACTAAGCATGGTAATAAAGTTTTATGGCAAAGATTTTGTAAATTTATCTTAAATGTCACCGAAAAGCCTCAGCCGGGGCAAAATTTTAATATCGAAGCACTGTGTCAATAACAAACATGTTATGTATATGGGAAGGTTTCAAAATTTACAATTTATCTGTTAAATTAATTTAGATCCAGCTTTTAATCGCATCAAAATTATAGAATTTCATATATGACAATGTATTATATTATATTTTTTGAAAAATTCCGGCAATTATGCCTTGACGCATGTATTGTCATCTCTAGGTGTCATGTTTCGAGCCCAGAATCAATTAAAAACACTTTAAACGGCACTTATTGGATTTTTAAGTATTACTTTTGAAGGTAAAGATCATAAACGATATTATTTGCAATTCTGTACCTTTAACAAAAATAGTGACATTGTTACTCTCCCTTTCACGATCAAAGCAAATCCACTGGGCACCATGATCATCGAGTTGTACTCGTAATATTGTTACAGTGAAAGACGTTTTTGACGGGCATCCTACTTCGTAGATTGAGTTGTTAGCAAATATTCCGCTACCAGAGCATGTGCCGTCTTCGTTTCTAACAACAGATGGTGTATATTTTCCCTGTACATTCCATTTTGTACCAGTTACCTCAATGTACCCGTTGTATGTGCAAGTTAATGTAAAGTTATTGTTAACAACAACGTCAGTTTGTGATGGGATAAGATATATGCTCTTGCAAAACAAACCTGCAAAATTATGAAATGGACAAATGCGTGAAAATGTGTTGTGGAAATATAAAGTATAATTGATGTTTCACACTTGCACGCATGAAATTGTAAAAGTGTGAATGAAAAAGATAGTTCTCATTAACAAAGACTTCATAAACTGAGATGAATATATATTGTGAATGGAGAGTTTATTCCTTTATATATGTTTTATAGTGTATTTGTTTATTAGTTGTTCATTCATTTGTTAAAACTAGCTTGTTTTCTAGAACAGAATAATTTCTATTCTGATTCAACATTTGCAAGTATCAAAATATATGATGAAGATATAAATATGTTTTTATTTTCTAAATGTCTGCATTTTTATTTAGGGCAACAGACCTTACACAGCAAAATACTTTAATATTCATTTTTTTTTTACACATACCTTGAAAAAAATGTGCTGAAAGGAGAAACGAGCATACTTTCCAACTCATCATAGCCCATGTATATGTCCACGTATTAAAAGAACGAATCTTAAAAAAATAAAGAAAATGATAAATGGTATGCAAAAGTCTACATCAATTCACTAATTTTTTTCAATGCAATAAATCATTATATAACAAATGCGGAGCAAATATTGATAAAATAATAAAAGATAAAAACAAGAATCGGTTGAAAAGGGTGATGCTCCCCGAGAAAGTTTTGGACACAGGAAAGTATATAAAAATGAACAAAGGACAAGAACTCCAAAATAAGGCAAGGCGAAGTTTTTTTGCACTGCACTTCTAATGAGATGAGATCTATCTGTCTATGAAGTTTCCTGATGATATCTCTTATAGTTTCAGAGTTATGTCCCGGGTAAAATTCAAAGTTTAAGAATGAACAAAAGGCAATAACTCCAAAATAAGACAAGGCTTTGATTAGGTTCTTTAACCAATTTAGTTCTATCCAAAAATATTTATCTACCTACAAAGTTTCATATTGATATCTCTAATAGTTTTAGAGTTATTTACCGGACAAAAGTAAAAAAAAAAGTAATCAAAGGACAATTACTTCAAAATAAATCAAGGTAGAGTTATGATTTTTAGCACTGCACTTCTACCTAATGAGACCTATCTATCTACAAAGTTTCATGTTGATATCTCTTATAATTTTAGAGGAATGTCCCAGACAAAGTTCAAAGTGTCAAAATGAACAAAGGACAATAACTCCAAAATAAGGCAAAGCAGAGTAACGGTTCTTGTGCACTGCACACCTACTTAATGAGATATATCTATCTACAAAGTTTCATGTTCATACCCCTTATAGTTTTAGGGTTTTGTCCCGGACAAAGTTCAAAGTGTAAAATAAACGTAGGGGGATAATTCAAAAATTAGGCAAGGCAGAGTTACGGTTATTTTGCACTGCACGCCTACTCAATAAGATCTATGTGCCTACAAAGTTTTATGTTGATACCTCTTATAATTTTAGAGTTATGTTCCGGACAAAGTTCAAAGTGTGAAAATAAACAAAGGGAATTAATTCAAAATTAGGCAAGGCAGCGTAACGCTTCTTATGCACTGCACACCTACTCAATGAGATCTATCTACCAACAAAGTTTCATGTTGATACCTCTTATAGTTTAAGAGTTATGTCCCGTACAAAGTTCAAAGTGTAAAATAAACAAAGCGGGATAATTCAAAAATTAGGCAAGGCAGAGTTGTGGTTCTTGTGCACTGCACTTCTACTCAATGAGATATATCTACCTACAAAGTTTCATGTTGATACCTCTTATAGTTTTAGAGTTATGTCCCGGACAAAGTTCAAAGTGTAAAATAAACAAAGCGGGATAATTCAAAAATTAGGCAAGGCAGAGTTGTGGTTCTTGTGCACTGCACTTCTACTAAATGAGATATATCTACCTACAAAGTTTCATGTTGATACCTCTTATAGTTTTAGAGTTATGTCCCGGACAATGTTCAAAGTGTAAAATAAACAAAGGGGGGTAAATAAAAAATTAGGCAAGGCAGAGTTAAGTTTCTTATACACTGCACTTTTTCTCAATGAGATATATCTACCTACAAAGTTTCGTGTTGATACCTCTTATAGTTTTAGAGTTATGTCCCGGACAAAGTTCAAAGTGTAAAATAACAAAAGGGGATTATTCTGTAAAATAAACAAAGCGGGATAATTCAAAAATTAGGCACGGCAGAGTTACGATTCTTTAGCACTGTACACCTACTCAATGAGATCTATCTACCTACAAAGTTTCATGTTGGTACCTCTTATAGTTTTAGAGTAATGTCCCGGACAAAGTTCAAAGTGTAAAATAAACAAAGGGGGATTATTCTGAAGTTAGGCAAGGCAGAGTTACGGTTTTATGCATTGCACACCTACTCAATGAGATATATCTACCTACAATGTTTCATGTTGATATCTCTTGTTGTTTCAAATATATGCTCCTCCGAAATTTTTCGAGGAGCAAAACAACTTGATAGCATGTAAACGGTTAAGGTGAGATTATTTATTTTTGATTGCGAAAGTGAACAAAATGTTAGTCCTGAAGTATCGATAATACATTATTTTAATCGATAAATAATCAACTTCTATCTTACATTATAGGTATCAAAACCTGACAGAATCCTTGAAAAGAAAGACTGATTATCATTTATTCTGCCACTACTGGAGATAATCAAATTAAAAAACAAAAAAAGGCCGAAAGCGTATGTTGTTTTATCAGAACGCACTCGAAGTTCTAATTCCCACTCACCTACACTATATGATATGCGATACGGTACAATGCGTAACCGGACTTCTTCGACAACTAACACAATCTGTTGTTAGGTGACGAAATTTAAACCGACATATTCAACATTTGTGCAATACGTAGATGTACCAAACGTTCTTCAGCAGATTGGAATAACTAAACGCCCAAAGCTCTGTTTCTTTGCCTTACCCTTTCTTCATGAAGTACCAGTCAAAGATAAATTGTTTCAGTTTAAAACAGAACAAATATACATTGTTTTATATTTTAAACAATGTATGGCAGTTATTCATGTGACAATTGAATAGAAATTAAACTGGCAGGAAGATATCAGTCCTATGCTTTTAAGCTAATTACACAATGTAAGAAGTTTACAAAAGGAAGAAATGCAAACAGGGAAATAATTTTTACTTTCGAAAATGTAAACATGCATTTCTTCCTTTTGTAAACTTAGGGATAGTTAAACTAATAGTTTATGTCATATAAGTTCGTGAACAGTCACATACCCGCGTACAATTAATATATACAGGTTATCTTAATTTGTATTCAGACGATGAATGCATTTTATTACATACCCATGCCGCTTTTTCGACTCCGTAGAATCGGTATTGCTCGGCCATGCATACAATTTGACATTACACCATTTGGCTTATACGATCATTGCGTAAAGACGAGCTAAATGTAACGTTACGATGTAAGCACTTTAATAAAAAATAAGTCATTTTGACAGTAGACAATTCTTAAATTGGGTATATGATAAACAAAGTATCCGTGAAGCTTCAATACTGAACTAATTGAATTCATTGAATAAAATTTATTCCACTCGAACAATAAATTAATTATTGAACCTAGACTTTCAAAAACCTCTATAAATAAGATGTCAGGTGTTGTTTGCATAAACACAATAACTGATAGTGTATCTTCCAAACTTATGACTGAAACAGAAAAGCGAAAAAAATCTAATAGTTATATATTAAATCTTTATAATGTGATAAAGAAAAAGAAATACAACCTTGTTTCTTCTTTCAGCCATTGAAAAGAAAATGTCCTTACATGAAACGAGACTCAGTCAAACCCAGTCTGCAACTGTCATGTGATATTGTTGTGATTTATGCTTCCAAGGGATCACACTTTATCCAGTTTTTATAACACTTTTCATTAGTAGAATGTATTTTAACGTTAAAATTAAATTACTCCCTGAATGAAATTTTTTTAAACATTTCCCATGTCTGTTTACCAATTTGAGATAAATGATATTATTGTTTCTTGTATTATAAACATGCTATATTCACTCGAGTTGAAAATGTAATTTTAGATTTTTTTTAAACAAGTGAACAATGGTAATTTCAATCGTGTATAGATAGAACGAAACAAGGACATTTTATCACTTGTTTGCTTGTTTTTTTGTTTGTTTTTAGGGTTATTTTAATGTCTCTTTTTATTTCCTGTCTTCTATTTTTGTCTTATTTCTTTGTTTGATGTCAATCAATAACTTATGTTGCGATTTTTAGCGAATAAGCGAAACCTCTAGGTGTGTTACTGAACTGTGATCACCTAAGTGACTTAAAGAACTAAATATAGGGCAATATCTAGTTGCTGATTGTCATTATGCGATAATGGCCATAAGGGACACAGGCCTTAAGGATATTATTGACTCGAGGGCTAAGATTTATATTGATTAGCAGTAATAAAGTAAGTGCATGCATGTTTTAATTATTACATTAGCTTGTGTTCACTAATCATGATTGTACTGTCAGTAACCTGACATAATATGTATCGGCGATATATCTTGTATCGAAATTAGTTGCTGGGATCATATCTAAACAATGTATGAAAAGAAAGGTTAAACCATTTCTATTATTCCATTCCTTGTGTATGGCTTGTGTTTTTCCATAGATGTCCGACAGTGGAAATTATCACCCTGGTGCTCGATGGGAATCAGATCACAATTATGCTAGGACAACTAATATTCAAAGCAATATTATACGTCCTTCTCAACTGTATCTCTTGATGCCATTTGTTTTTTGCATTATCCTGACGATGTGCCTCGTAAGATTCTTATCTCGGTAGCATTAGGCATTAAGGTTCCTATCGATAACGACGAGAGGTGTGCGATAACTATGCCTAATGTCTGTCTAGAGCAAGACAGAATTTCCTACGAAACCCGATCTCATTCAGGTTCACGATAAATATATGTCGCTATAAGCTAGGCAGTCTACATCAACGAGTTATTTTCCAATAGAGAAAATTATTCCAATAATATGGATGGTCGATTCTAAATCTTCGTCACTTTAGGTAGTTTTTACAGTAAGGATAAATCAAGTCAAGTACAAAGTCCGCCCCTATAAGTCATAGACAACAGTGTTTTAATATAAACTGCTCGATGTGTTTCTTAAATATTTTACTGATATATAAGTGTACACGCGAACATATGCAAGATATCATTCGAGTTAATTACACAGGACAAATTAAAATATTATATGTGTGGAATCATGTGTCTCATTTTCTAAGTATCATTTAATCATAGGATGCATTTTTGAAGTCAAGCCACCTATTTATACGAAACTTATACAAATTGTATTGGAACACAGTCAATTGTTTAAAGTTTTAAATGTCTGAATTTCTGATACTGCAAACTGTTTGAAGTTTTTTATGTTTTTCTTTTAACTTTCACTGTCCATAGTTCGCTTGACTACGGGTATTACATTTAAGCTAATTCTTTAGTGGCCTGTTAGATATTTTTATTGCATTTTATGCTAACGCTGGCAAAACGTTATTGGTCTTTTT